TATCAGCAGCTCCTTGGGCAGTTTGAGCTTTCTGAGTTGGCGAAGAAAGAACATTCTTTGTTGTGCTTTTTTGATGACGTTTTTGATGTTAGGTGTCCATTTTAGGTCATGTGATACAGTAGAACCTAGAAATTTGAAGGTCTCTACTGTTGATACTGTGTTGTCTAGTAGTATAAGAGTTGGTAGTATGGGAGGGTTTCTTCTAAAGTCTACCACCATTTCTACAGTTTTGAGTGTGTTCAGTTCCAGATTGTTCTGGTTACACCATGAGGCAAGTTGTATAACCTCCTGTCTGTATGCAGATTCGCCATTGTCTCAAATTCGACCAATCACTGTTGTGTCATCTGCAAACCAATATTTTAACAGATGGATCATTTGAGTTGCAGTCATTGGTATATAGGGAGAAGAGAAGTGGAGAAAGTACACCGTTTTGGGAGACCCCTGTGCTAATTGTACAGGTATCAGATGTGATTCTGCCTACCTTCACCTGCTGCTTCCTATCTGTTAGGAACATAACTTGTTGCCATAACTAAACAAGAATTCTACAGGTTTTGAAGCAAGGACCTAACATGCTCCCAACTGCTTACTTCCTGCTAGTTTCTCCATTGACTTTGCTTGTTGGAAGTTGGCAGGGAAAATCGGAAATTGCAATCAGGTGACCACAGCTCACTGAAACATAACTGCAGGCACCAAATCACAATTACAAGGCTGCAGGGATGTTGGGTCAGCTAGAATTCCAGGACCTATTGTGAGTCCCATTCATTCAATATCATTGTAACTTTGAATGATCATAGTCATACTCAAGTGTTACCTATATTTTGATGGTTTCTTGTTATGTGAATAGTAGTCATAGTAAGCCTTCAGGATCATGGAAGATGGGGAGAAAAGTTTAAACTTTTTCTGCTATCACTCCATATAAAAAGTAGTTTTCTGAAACTGCTGCTTGCACTTCAAGGAATTTTCCTACCTATGCCTTCAATGGAGATGTCTCCAATAAATAAAAATAGTGCCATAATTTCTTCCTGAAAATGGCTCTCAGTCACTCTGTACTATTTTAAAACGTTTTTCTCTTCTGTACATTTTTAGCACAACATGCTAAATATTTAATGTTAAATACACCAAGTGTCTATTCAAAGAAAACTGGTAGGCAGACATTACGTCCATCTAACCCAGAGATGACGCAGAATCCTTGTCAATCAGATCTGATTGAATCCTGTGATTAGAAATGAATTGATGATAGATTTAAGAAACAAGAGTTAACATAAAATAGAAAACAGAAACAAAGTAATTAAATTCTAATACATAGAATTTCAGTATTTATATCACAAAGGTCAGTAACAGTGGCAAAGTATTTGGATTCTGGATTATTGTTGTGTATTCCAGACTGGCACACTTCAGGATTAAAAAGTCTAGATCTAGTGTAGCACAGAACAGTAATGTTTTTTTTTATGTTGCCTTCTGTGAAGAAAGATTGAAAAACAAGTTTGAGGTTGAGAAGTCTTCTGATTTGAAAAAAAAAACATTCACTTGTCAGAACTTTTAATATTGCAGTGATCAGAATCTATGTCTGTCTCTCTTTCTCAATGAAACATTTCACATCAGTCATTACTTGTATGTATTCCCCTGATGTTTTCATCCCTCTCTGTTTGGTGTTTCATAGCATTGATAATTTAATCATAGCAGCATCCTGCTTGGGAAAAATGAATAATTGTTATTTTTTATTTCATATATTTATTTGTCAAATTTATATGACTGGTCCTCTAGATTAATTAAATCATATAAGTTTGGTTTTTAAAACCAGGATGTAAACATAATTTGATCTCATATGACAAAGTGGACTATGAAATCTCCATAATGAAAAGCTTGTGATAACACAATACATGACTTTTATTTGTATTAATTTTTGATGAAGTTTTAAAATGTCATTATCATACACTAACAGAAGAAAATCATACACTGTATGTATTCATAAAATGGTATGAAATTCAAGTTTAAGAATGACAACTATAGAAAAGCAAGTGAAAAAATATGATCAGAGATCTGTAGCATCCTGTTCACTTTAATTCCTGATCTTTGCAAAAAAATAGGAGAGAAATTGGAGGGGGGGAAACAATCTAGAAAAGTAGAGAGAAAACAACAAAATGTCACTTTTTTTAACCTTCGGATTTGGCAGATTCTCTCTAATTTTCCCCTCCTGGATCAATGCCATTTATCTGTAAAAAATACAAGGAAAGAATACAAGTTAATAAAACTTTTTCAGAAATCCTAAAAGTTTGAAATATATGTCTCAGAACAAAATGTTTACTTTCCAAACCTGTACAGATCTAGCCCTGACATGTCATAATTTGCATAACAGCATTGGTATTTGTCAATATGTACACAAATAGTATGATAATATTTCTGTCCAATTACATGGTCCCCCTATTTTATTTTGTTTTGTTTCCTTCAAAGTAATTATGCATAGACTAATAATTGTGTCTTATTTAGGTGTTAGTGATTTGTTTGATTTTCTTAGATAAAAGTTTATCAAGGTAGGCTTTTAAAACAAAATCCTAGTTATTCTCCTTGAGTATAAATAAGAAAGCAAGTTTATGCGTGTATTTTTAGTGGATCCATTGGAGCATGAATATGAAATACCCTTGGGTAAGCAGCTGTGAGAGCCCTCATTATGAGCTCCTGAACATAATCATTTAAAGTTACAGCACCATTATTGAATTCTACAAAAAGGAAACTGATTAGAGCAGGGCCAGAGCAAAGAAAGTTGGAAAAATTCAGCCAATGATACAAGACAAATAATACAGCAATATATAACGATACCAGGCATAAAACATTAACTCAAAATGTAGCAGCCTGATGACTGGCACAGCAATCCTGGCATTACAGGATAACACTGACTTTGGTTTCACTGTCATAATTACCAATAGGCTTCTGAGCCCAATTCAAATAGGATGTGACTAAAAAGCTGTAAGGTGAAACATTTCACTCGAGTATCTGGCCCCACCTTGCCAAATTGAGCCTACCCATCCAGTTCAAATATCTTGAGGGAATTTGCAATTTGAATTCCATGGAATTTCAATTAGATGGAAGGCCTCCTGTGAAGGGATTCCCAATCTCTGGGACATACTTTCCCCGAGGATGTGTGTAGTATCTTTGCTTTCTACAAATCAGGTATTTTTTTTAATTCCACTTTATTCCTAATTGGTTTATCAAATTATGGCAGGATATCTTGGTATATTTGATGGTGTGGAAAGGGTCTGAGTGAATCGTGAAAGAATGTGACTGGTCACCCGCCTGGCTTCTATGCCTATGGGAGAACCAGAGTTCAGGTCTGGATTAGACTCTTAATCCAGCACCTTAACCACTCCACATACTGGCTCTCATACTTGGCATTTATATACTGTTTTGTTTTAATCTGTTATGATTGCTATTTCCTAACTTGTTATACATCATTGGGATAGTCTGCAAATATAGTAAATTAATTAGTTATGCAGAACATTCTATGTTTTTAGAAAATATATTATTTCTTTACCAAAGTCAGCTTTGATAAAATAGAACAGACCAGAATGATTTGTGTTGCTTATCTGTAATATCATGCATTTTCAGTATTGTGCATGCTATAAATTAATCTATTAAGATTACAATGTGAACAGAAAATTCAAAGAATTTATTTGGTTAAAAATTAGGTTACAGTTCAGGCATCTACAGTTATGGAAGTTACTTTGGGTCTATCTATGTGAAGCATAAGTTATCGAAACTGTGTTTATTGGGCAGTACTGCATAATCTAATAGGTTCAGTTCAGATATTCCAAATGTGTTCAATTCAGGTATTCCAGGAGATTATTTATCCTGAGTCCCAGTGTCTCTTACTGTCATTGGCCTTTTTCCCTTTCCACTGTTTCTTCTTACAGGGTCTTTGTATTGAATTGTACTAAATAAATGTACCAAATATCACATTTTTCTCTGTTTGATGGCCTTTTTGAGGTTTCTCTAGGATTTCAAGTTTTTTTTTAATCTTTTATAACTGCAAAGAATTCTCAACATTCTCCTTAAAAGCCACATTTCAAAGATTTTCTGGCTGTTCTCCCCCTTCCAGGATACTATCTATGTTTCATGGCATAAAAGAGAATTGACTAAACATAGCATTTGGTCATTCTTAATTTAAATCCATTCCCCTTCAAGTCCCAATATTATTTAGTTCTTTAAACATTTTCCTGCAATTTATGTTGATATTTCATCAGTGTTCCCATTTGCCCTGATTAAGTGTTCAAAATAGACAAAGTTTTGGTCTTGCTGGAGGAACAACACTGATACTTTTTATTTGGGAAGGGTCTTCCTTCCCCAAGATTATTATTCCCTGGGGGTTTGTTATACTTACATTGACATATCCCATAACCATTGGGATATTCATAGCCTTTACTAAAGAAATGGCTTTTTGCATTGTGTCATAAAATTCTTCTAGTTCTCAGTCTGAGTGGTCTCCTAAGGTACATAAATCTGTAGTTTTATTATACTGAAGGATTTGGCTGCAGTTTTGATCATTATTATTCTGTCATTTATTTGCCAAAAGCCCACTGTGGCTTATCCTTTTCGTGACAAGTGATTTTTGATGAGAAGTACCACTACAAGTAGATCATTTATGTTTTTCCCTCTGTATCTTTCTATTTCCTGTCCTTCTTTCTTATTGCCGTGTACATTTTATGTATATAATAATGTGAAATATGTCACTTGATTCTTAATGCCAAAATAACTGTTGAGTGATCACAGATCCGTTGAGTTGTACTGAATTATACTGGCACTGTTTGAAACTAGTACTGTGGAGCCTAATGAAAAAGGAATCTATATGATTCAGATAATGTAAACCTTAAAAATTAATAAGGAACAAATAATATTATTAACTGTCGCTGGATAAGTAAGATGGGCTGCCAATAAATTTAAATAATAAAATAAAAATAGCTATGTGCACAATCTTAATTCTCACATACCTTTTTTCTCTCTTACAGGAAGTTTTATTACATCACTCTGCTAAGGGATCCTGTGTCCCGTTATCTCAGTGAATGGAGGCATGTCCAGCGAGGAGCTACCTGGAAAACATCCTTGCACATGTGTGATGGCCGAACGCCAACCCCTGAAGAGCTGCCATCATGCTATGAAGGCACAGACTGGTCAGGCTGTACTCTTCAGGAGTTCATGGATTGCCCATATAACTTAGCTAACAATCGCCAAGTGAGGATGTTGGCTGATCTGAGCTTGGTAGGCTGCTATAATATGTCCTTCATACCAGAAAACAAGCGAGCACAGATACTGCTGGAAAGTGCCAAGAAAAATCTCAGAGACATGGCCTTTTTTGGCTTGACAGAATTCCAGAGAAAAACACAGTATTTGTTTGAGAGAACTTTCAATCTAAAATTTATCAGGCCATTCATGCAGTATAATAGCACAAGAGCAGGTGGAGTGGAGGTGGACACCAAGACCATACGGAGAATTGAGGAACTTAATGACTTGGACATGCAGCTGTACGACTATGCAAAAGACCTCTTCCAACAGCGCTATCAGTACAAGAGGCAGCTGGAAAGGATGGAGCAGAGAATAAAGAATCGGGAAGAAAGGCTTCTTCACCGATCGAATGAAGCACTTCCCAGGGAAGAGACCGAAGAACAAGGACGGTTGCCTACCGAGGACTACATGAGCCATATTATAGAGAAATGGTAGCATTGAAAGAATTTTATACAAAAAAACCCAAGATGTTAGTGTTTCCATTACAAAAGAACATGGAATTTAAAAAAAAAACTTATTTAAAACAATCTGTAAAACAGAAAGTAGAATGCTTCTTTAAACAAAGGGTCTTTTTACTGTTTCTTACAAGACCAATGGGGTTCTTAATAAAACAAAATAAAAATAATAAAAAAGTGAGCTCAGAGTTTAAAATGCACAAGTGTAGTCCCCTAGATCTGAGGCCAAATGTCACCTCATTTTTCATCTCCTAGATGCAGATCTAGACATCATAGAGAGCAGCTTTGTACCACTCTTCTCCATCGGCAATGGCAAATGAGCTTCAAAGAATCAGTGTTTTCCTCCCTTGTCTATATGAGATGTTCAGTGGTGAACATCATAATAATGGCAGTGAACCTGCCATACAGTGACTTGGTCCCAGGTTCAGCTGCTTGACTTCAGATTGAAATCATGGTTAAAACAAAGGCAGAATATGTAACCAACAGCAGTCAAACTAAAAGGAAATTTTAAAAATAGAGAATAAGAAACATTCAGAAAGAGACTGGACTACGAATTGGGGACTGAAGTTTGGGTTACATGGCACTGGTGTTTTGCATGCATACATTCACACTCATACACCCTACATTATAAAAAAATGGTGAATCTGTGCATACATTTTCTCAGCCTTTGTTAAAGAAAGAATTAAATCCCTTGTAAAACTAACTGTAAGTCATCTCATCACAAAGTGGTAAAATATCGTTTCCTAGAGAAAGACTGGCTGTGTATCACTCCAATAAATTTAAAGAATCTGATCAACTGAGGCCAACATATCCCAGGCAAACTCTTAATCATTTGGTTGTTGTTCTGCTCATGATGGAAAATATTCTTCCCCTCTGTTTGGATGTTGATTTAATAAGACACAGTTATTATTCAAAGTGATTGTTCACTATTTGGCATTACATATTGTCCATTGCTGTATAGTGACTGCTATACAATAAACATTAGATCATTATAAGTCCTAGGTCAAATGAGGCTAACTTAAAATTTAATGAAGTAATTCAGCTCCACTGATTGATGTCAGGGAGATTTAGATGCAACTAATTTTCACTGGATAATATCTACTATTTATGGGAGCGCTGATGTTGAATTTAAGACACTGCATTGCATCAACACATGGCAGCACTTGGCTGATCATGTCTGAGCTGAAAATCTAAGCAGGCTCAGGACTTAGGAGTGTGATAATATTAGAGGATACTAAGGCTTTAGACTAGATGAGAAAATTGGGGGGAAAATAGTCCCATAAAGGTGGCACATCCATACTATTACCAAAAACAAATCCTGCGTGGATGTGTCCTTATTTACTTACTTGAAGGAGACTTTACTTGTCTGTCTTGCTTTCTTATTTTTGAGCAAACAAGAGAACTTGTAAGGCTTAGTTGTTCTCACTTCAAGCTCTGATTTTATAAGCCTTATACTTATTGAACATTTAAAAAAATCACAACAGCATACATCTTTTTCTTTTTGAAAGCATCCAATTATCATTTACTGTCTCTCCAAAAACCTGTCTCTTTATTTTCTAACCACTTTTATATGTTTTTAAACAGTTTTATAAAATGAGAGTCTGAAGGAAACCAAATTGTGTTTGTCATTATGACTTATTGTTTCTGTTCTCTTGGATACTGAGTTAAATTGTAGATAGTATTTGAATATGAAGGTTGGCAGCTGATTCTCAAAGATCAGGCTCACTCTGCACCATAGAGAGAAGCTAGTGTATTTGTTCCACATGATTTTCAGTACAAGAAAGTGTGGCACTTCCTTGTGGTTTTGTATCTTAATATAGGTAGTACTTGACATAGAGCTGTTCATTTAGCAGCCATTCAAAACAATGACTTACAACTGGTCCTTGCATTTGCAACCTTTGCCGCATTCTCCATGATCCCTTGATCAAAATTCAGGCACTTGGCATGTATTTACAAAAGTTGCAACGTTCCTGAATCACATGATCACCGTTTGCAACCTTCCAAGCTGGCTTCCAACAAGCAAAGTCAATGTGGGAAATTAGATTCATTTAAAGAATTAATAATTTTTAATAATGCAGTGTGATTCACTTAATAATGCAATGATTCGCTTAACCATAGCAAAGTTTAAAATTGGGTGTGACTTACTTAACAACTGCCTTGTGTAGCAACAGAAATTCTGTTCCCAATTGTGGTCATGAGTCAAGGACTTCCTGTATTCTTTCCAAGTTCTCAATGTATACTTTATGTCCTAAGATTTGGTCTTCTTCCAAAGGAGATAACCTAATTAAGCAACCTACTATATGTGCTCAGCTTGCTGCTTCTATGTTTCATCCACAGGACAGTGAGAATTATTTACAGTGATGACAGAAGGAAAACTTGATTTAAACATAACCTTATCCATCTATTTCAGTGTTTAATACAAGCACCAAGTGACCTGTAATGATGTACATCCTAAAAGACACACTAGTTCTTAAATATAAGCATTTGGCAGCTCAGTCAGTACATGTTCACAGCTCATCAAAACTAAGCATTTGAATATAATTGGGGTGGGGTGGGAGGACTTTATATCCCTAAATCTTAAATTTAGGGATTAACAACAGTCTGCTAAATCTCTGGAAAACTCTGGACTTTTGTAACAAGTAAAATAAACGTTTTAAAATTGTCTGCCGGCAAAAACATCTGCAGCTTTTGACATGCGGAATATGGAGCTTTACCCAGAGTGTTTGTCCTGTTTTTATCACTATAGTCTCACAAAAATGTGCTGCAGCAACTAATCAATATGCATAGTGTGAACAGCAGAGAGCCTGTTCTGTTAGGCTTTGTACAACAAACAGCAAGTTTCTAGGGCTTCATTGTGTGGATAAAGATAAAAGGAAAGTAGTTTTGGGGTGTTTAAATTTAATTTCCACAACAACCTTGATAAAAAACCTTAATGGATCTGCCTGTGATTATAGGCTTTCTCCAATATTTTTGTTTGATGTTTTTATCAGTAAAAGCTAAGAAGATAAAAACTACTGAATATTATTGTCAGCTTCAGCGCCAAAGTGAGTGAGTATGTGGTCATTTTGTGCTTAGATCACAATATACTGTAGTTTCTTGCAGCAGAGGGAAATATCAATTTCATGGCCTGTCACAATAGTTCAGGTGTCCTCCCAAATTTTGCTAAGATATTATACAAAGACATTTGTACAAAGATATTTAAGTTAATCAAAATCATTTGGACTAAAGCATCTAAATTGGACCAAAAGAACTGAAACTACAAAGGCAAATAAGCTATGATTGGTTATAAGAAATAAAGGAAATCAATTCAGAATTTTTAAATTATTATAAGGACAATTATAAGGATATAGAAAAGAAAAGAGTGGATGGGACTCTTAACACTAAATGTGACTGTTTAGAAGAATTCATTAATATCATGGGAATAAATTTTATATTGAGTATTACGATGTGTGGCCAGATAATTCAAGAGCAGATCAATGATACTGTAAAGAAAAAACATGCTTAGTTTAAAATCCTTTATCTACAATATATCAGGACACTTTTATGGTAGCTCCTGTTGTGTCTTTTCAACCTCCATATAATCTTCTGAACTTTCCTTAACTCTTGACAGGAGCAGTTTATAATGTCAGCAGTGCTGGTACTGGGGGAGTCTAGAAAACATCTCCTGTAGCTATTTAAAATCAGCATGCGTACTTAGTCAGAGCAATCACTACAGAAGAAATGTTATAAACATTTCCAACAGCACACATCCTTCCTCCAGCACTCCCTAGTGTTCCAGGACATTGACTCTGGACTTTTAGCAAAAGAGAATTTTGCAGTACTAGACAGCACATTAGCTCAATCTTCACTGAAATTACTTAAGAAATTCTTTTCTGCAGAAGCCTTCTGAAATGAGAACTGAATGGGGATTCGTGGAATAATTTTGAGGCCATAAACCAGCTAAGTATTTTTCATATAACACAATGTATTAGATTTCTTGTCAGTTTGTTATGACTGAAAGATCCTTTCCAGAAACAGATACAATTAATAAAGCTTTCCAATTTGGAGTACACTGGGATTAGACTGATGGCAGCTTTCCCTAGTGAAATTTCTTAACAGAGAAGAGTAATTACAAAAGATGAATTACCTAGTTGAATGATTAGTGCTCCCTCTGTTATTTTGGGACTCTATTGTGGCATCTGCACTCAGTCTTGTGTTCTTATAGCTCATAGTCCTAACAGTGAAAACAAGCAGAAGTATATACCTCTATGTATACCAGTTGCTGGGTAACAATAGGAGTTGACTTTTCTAGAATTATCTAGCTCACTGATGATTGGGGAATTCTGGGAATTGAAGTTTATACCTCTTAAAGTTGTTGAGGTTGAGACACACTGAGCTAGCTATCAGGAGAAACAGAATGGACTTCTGGCCTGATCAAGTAGGAAGATTTTTATTCAGCTGCAGTATGCATAAGGGTTGACCTAGGATTTTGCATAATAATTATTAAGAAAATTTAACAAAAGGAAAAACTAGTGGTTCTCCATTCTTGACATAAAATTGCTTAGAACTATTACGTTGAATGCAAAGGATTGCCAAACATCCATGCTATTATATGAGGTTGAATTTACATTGCTTTTTTTCCAATTAGAAATACAAGACTTTTAAGATGAGAGACAAAGGGGCATCAGGAGGCCACTGAAAAGTCTTCTTTATGAGTTTAGGCTCTCTTCCAGTTTGTGTTTTGACACATGCAATTCACATTCACACAGATGTCTCCAATCCACTCTAATCCTTCACCTGGAAAACCATAGATTATGACTAGCAGTCACATAGATATGTGCTAGTCTAGCTTAGAATTGAAAGGGTAAGTTTATCCATTTTAGTTCTAAAGCATCTAAATTAGAAGTGAATAATTTTACACCTGTAGATGATTCACAAATTAAAGATAATTTTGACGGGCATACGTTGCTAACTTGAATACTACAGTCCTCTATTACCATGCAATTCTTTATAACTATCATGAAGGTAACAAGCTGCAACGTTTCCCATGATTGGTCATAGAATATCATTAGAACCATTGTTCTTTTTGTTGTTGTTCACAGTCTATT